GCCAATGTGCACATGAATCCTCTGTGTGCCACACAAAACAGATCAGATCCTTCTTTGTGCCACCATTTTATCTTAAACATCCTTGCTCCTTCCTTCCTTCCTTCCTTCCATGTAATAAGAAGTGAGCCCAGAGGTGCTCTACCATTGAGTAACATACCCAGCCTTTTAATGTTTTTATTTTGAGAGGATCTTATTTGGTTTCTGAGGCTGGCCTTGAACTTGTGATCCTCCTGCTTCAGTCTCCCATGCCACTGGGATTGCAGGCATGCATGACTATGCCTGGCTCAGTTGTTTATAAATCACACAGCTTATGACATTTTGCTATAGGGTCTAAATGGACTAAGGCAGTCTGACCACCACCCCTAACGCTCCACTGCAGCTTTCCTCTCGAGTTCACCAGTGATCTCCTTATGAGTAAACCCACTGTGTATTCTTCAGTCCTTCCTTTCTTGTTTTTCTGCAGCATTTGACCTTGTGAGTTGCTTCATTATTGCCAATACCTCCTGTTCCTCTGCTGTTCCTCCTGTGATTCAAGTTATTCCTCTTTAGGCTCATTTGAGAATTTTCCTTCTGTTCATCATTAAAACGTTGAGTGTTCTTCAGGGTTCAGTCTGACTACGTTCTCTCAGCACTCACCGACTCTCTTGGAGCTGTCTCTTCTGTTCCCATGACCTCTGCTGCCACCTTTTGCTGACAACTGCCAAATTCAAATCACCAAAGCAGCTCTCCTTTCTGAATGCAGTATGAGCACACAAAACACATGAGTGTCCCTACACACGACCGCTATGCCTAGGCCATGCCACTTCTATAGTAAGTGCTATTACATTCTTGTTTTCCTTGTCCTGTCCCCAGCCACTAGGCTATGTGTTCTTTGAAATCAGGAATTCTGATGTGTTCACAGTGGCATCCTCAGTAACTAGAACAGTGCAGGGTGATACACCCAGTGAGTTAGGTAATTACCAGGAGACAAAGCAAAAATACAGATATATGGAACTAACAGATACCAGAAACATTCACTTATAACTATGATTATGGGTTTGTTTTTGTTTGGGGAATTTTTTGTGGTACTGGGATCAAGCCCAGGGCATAGCACAATCTAGGCAAGTACGCTGCCACTGAATTATATCCCCAGCACTGAAAGTTGTTTTGTTTGGTTTTACTTTTTCTTTTTTTGGTCCTGGGGATTTAACCCAGCATGCTTCACGTGAGCTACATCCGCAGACCCTTTTTTATTTCTTATTTTTTTAAGAGAGAGTGAGAGAGAGAAAGAGAGAGAGAGAGAGAGAGAGAGAGAGAGAGAGAGAGAGAGAGAGAGAGGTAATTTTTTAATATTTTATTTTTTAGTTTTCAGTGGACACAACATCTTTTTTCAGTGGACACAACATCTTTTGTTTGTATGTGGTGCTGAAGATGGACCCGGGCTCAAGCATGCCAGGCTTGAGCCATATCCCCAGCCCTTAT